TATTGAATTTTCTGGAGAATTTGTGTAGATTTTGGTTAGGCTGGCACAATTTTCAGGGTGAATGTAGAGTTTGTTAAAAGCAAAATAAGTACTGACTTGTCTTATCTTGTTCAAATCAAACAAATCCCCAGGTGAATCATCATCTCCCAAACATCATGTAGTGCTTGAATCATGTGAATGGACTCAAGAAGAATTAAAATTAAAGAATCATCAGAGATCAAGATCTAAATTACCAAGTTTAGTTTTGGGAAGATGTAGATTCTGACAAGGTTAACAATTTGTATATAGGTCTTTTTGTTAATAGGCATAAATTATTTGGGTAGTGCTTCCAGAACTGCTTATATACCCAAAGTTTGATCCTCTATTACTTTGTACAGTTATTTGCACCTCTGAAATACATATGTGCAGACAATATTGGGAAGACTAACTGCTTCATGCTTTTGTTTAATGGTGTGTAATTGTACTTAAAAATTGTATTTAAAACTATCACGAAAAAGAAAACTTTCGGGTTTCATTTCCTGGAGCAATTTGGAGTATACCAGAGTTTGGAAGGAAAGTTTTCAAAGAAGCGTCCTGGGAAACAAGACTGTGGAAGATAGACTTAATTTTAAAATAAATTCTTTGTTTTATTCATTTTAGGAAGCCATCCATGCTGTAATGAGCTGCTGTGTATAATATGGTTTTAAAATGGCAACAGCAATAGAGCAATTCTTTTGTGAGTTCCACTCTCCTAGAAATGAATGTAAGAATGTAAGAATGTAAGAATGTAAGAATGTAAGAATGTAAGAGTAAAATGGCAAAAAATTTCCTTTTGAATTATAGAGAGTGTCTCAGTGTAAATGAGACATGGATGTTTTGCTGAGGATGAGTTATGAGGAAGACCCAAACTCCTCCTTCTAAGCAATTGTAAATCTGAAATAAGGAGGCTCCAACTGATGGGAAAAAAATGTGGAAAAAAAAAATAACAGTCCTTTATTAAAAGATACATGTGTATTGGCAGAAGCAAAGAAAGAAAACAAGTAAACCAACCAAACAATACTCCTATACCCACAATACTCCTATACCCACAATACTCCTATAATCCCCTTCAAAGCAAACCAATAAACAGAGAAGGAGAAAACCTCCCAAAACAGTTCCTCTCTGATGAAAATCCAAGCAGAATCCACAGCTGACAGCCAGGCTGAGAACAAAGACAACTCTGAGCTTGTTCCAGTTCCAGCAGCCAACCTGAACTCCTCCCCCCTATTTCCCAGGAGAGGAGAAGGAAAAAAGTAAAAGACAAAATTCTGAGGGCCATCAGCTAGGAATGCGGCCTTACCAGCAACTTCTTTTGTGTTACTTAACTGCCCATTCAACATTCCCTCCACACAGTGGACAGGGGGGAAGGGAAAAAATTCCTGCTTTCTTTTTAAGAACCAGGGAAACCATGACAGAGAGTTAGGAATGCAGGGAAAGCATAGTAAACTGGTATGCCTTATGAATACAGAAAATAGAGCTGACACTACCAACTACCAAAATAAGAATATTTTTGAAAAATAAGAACATTTTAAGGTGCACTTGAGGTGCATTATTTCTAAAAATTCGCACTATGGGTATAAGATTTTTACAAATATTTTTTATATTTCCAGTTCTCTAAGACGAAAAAAAGATGTCTATAAATATTTGATTGTTAAATTAAGGATGATCTCATTCATCTTTAATGAAAATATACTGATTAACAGATTTTTAAATACATATGACATCAGAGTTCATTTTGAAAATGAACAATGCTCCTCTAAATCTTTCCATGGCTGAGTTTATTTTAACTATGGCAAAAGTCTAAGGAATACCACCAGTGCTTTCTAGTAGGTTGATAAAATTGTCTTGGACTTCTAGTACTCAGCTCTACCCTCCTCCCTGAATGTGTAACTCATCACCAAAAGGCCCTTGAAGTTATGATTAACAGAAAAGGTTAATTCAGTAAGCTTAACTGAATGTTTAAATGAAGACAGCAGAAAGCTATGCAAATTTTCAAAAGTAATCACTTAAAAGGTGGAAAGTGCTGTTCATTTCTGACATTATTAATGTAAACCCATTCCTGCTTTTCTGCTCCTAAATGGCAAATCATCTTTGAAATCGGGAGAACCCTTTTTAATGAATGAGAAATGAGGAAGTAAAAGATAAATGTCTCAGAAAATGTATTCAAATGGTATTTAAATGGTTATAAAAATGCAATTTAGAGTATTTCTTGTATTTACAGAAGGGGTCAATCTATTTCACTGAAACCATGACGTGCAGTGGTCTCTTTTTTCTCAGAGGTTGAACAGTTTTTACTTGAAATACTATGCTTGCTTAATACCTTTTAAAACTAAAAATAATGCTGTATAAGTTACATAAGAAAACTTACACACATGCATAATAGAGGCAAAATTTTGGTATTTATATATGAAACTAACCTCTCAGATCCGTATATCTCTCAGATACCTACATTTGGTTGTTAAATTTCTCCAGGCATAAAGGATCATTCCACCTGATATTACCATCTAAAATGTAGCTTGAGTGAGCAGTATGTGTTTCTGTTATATTTTATGGAGAGGAAAAGGCATCTGTGTAGGTGGATTCATTGTATCTATTCTAGAAGGGGATGAATCTCCCCCTTGAGTTAGGTATATCTCTTCATAAAATATACATTTTAGATGACTGATCTTAAGTATTGTGAATCACCTATCTAATGTTCTTTCAGTGAGATGCCTTTTGTTTGACATATGAAAAAAATCCAAGGATAGAAACTGCAGGACTTGTTTCAATGCTTGAGAGTCAAAATGTTTTCACATGTCAGGTCAGAACCTCTTGTTTCAGCTTGTGTTCTCTGTTCTCAAATACAGGTGGTAGGTATAATTTTTCCTCATTCACAAGAGTGTGCTTCAAATATGTCTAAAAAATACTTTTAAGAGTGAACTGTTACAAGGAATTTGAATGATGATTGTCATCGTTCCATAAAATATGGACATAGAACAAAGAAAAGGAGAGTGTAAAAAGGAGAGTATATCTCTCTCCGTCCACTGCATAATAACTCAATGGGTTTACCACTCATTCCTGAATAAATGGGTTTTGAATTATCCAAGAACTGCTCACATGTTTTACATGACACATATATTTAAAAATTGAGAAATTAATGCTGGTGGAGGGACCACAACTGCAGATCATATCTCAAATATTCACTACAAGGGTTGTGTTGTCCATTTTCCATTAAATATGGAATAATTTTAACAGACTAATTATGCAACCTTAAAAAAACAGAACATAAGGTGGCACTTGGAGGAAATTTTAGGACTTAAATCTAGAAAGTAATCCTAAGAAAATCATATCCATGAGGTTTGCCTTTCCAGAAGACCTTGGGAATATTAGCCTTATTTTCTGCATTGATGTGTCTATATAATATACAGTTCCTGCCTTAGAAGAAAAGAAAACACCAGACTGCTATCAAAACCATTTCATATCATGCAGCTACAATTGTGTTTCAATCATCTTTCATCATCTGAACACCTGTTTTCTAGGTTTAGGTGTAAATGACTGCACTTTCAGCATACGTAGCACAGAAAGTACTTTCTGCAGAACTTGCCCAATTTCAGCAGTCAAGAAAAGACATCTCATTCTGAGATGGCAAAAGCATTAGAATTCTAATATAGAAATAATTACAATGGAATCATGTTTTTGTTATGCAGTATTTAGAGACATGTTAACGATGTTTCTACTGCTTCTCTTCTTAGAAATATTTGCATAGAGATCAGTGTATAGTGTGGTAATCATAAAATCTATACCATGTGTTGATAAAAGGTATAACTGACATTCTGTCATAATTATTTATATATTTATATGCTATGAAGTACTAAATACTGACATTTAAGAAATTTTTAAGTTGATTTATTGTTTCTTTTCATATCTTTGATAATTGACAGCATTTTAAGATTATTAACCACTGCAAGATCTAAAAAAAAAATTTAATATGAATCAAGGAAGAATTACTGCTTTTTGTATTTTTTGTTATTGGCATGCATCATCTTTAGCATTCTAGTACACAAAGCTAGACACTAGCTATTTTGCTATGGCTATCGATTTTTTGCACAATAGTTTTGAATTGTCCAGGTTTGTTCTGCAATTGTTTTCTACATCTGATTTTACTTTCAACTTCCCAAGCCACAGAAATAATTAGTATTCTGTGATGGTGTCCTGTATTTTACCCTTTACAATTACAATTTACCCCATGTGTTCCTTAATGTACAACTGCACGAGTGTCTTCTCGTGTCTCTTCCTACTTGGCTCCTGATCCCTCCTACGGTGCCCTAACTACTTAGTAGGGATAGGCTGGGAATTTATCAGCCATTCAGCTGACTAAAACAGAGAAAAAAGATATTAAAACTCTCATGTATCTGTTCTGTCTCACAAAACTCTGCCCCTTTGAGAACTCTTTCTTCTTTCTAGTTCAGTTCAAATTGCCCTGTAGATTAAAAAGAGGTTAGGTGAGCCAAGTAATGTAATACATTGTGTTCATCTCCTTAGGAAACTGAACTAAAAACATGTCTACTGCTGAAGAGTGAATCAAATAAAAGCAGATGTGAATATCACATTTAAAGCTTGAGGTCCTCAAACATGTGTAAACAATGTTCTGTACATTTTATGTAAGAAATAAGTTTTAAAAATGTTTAAGATTTTGTCATATGCAGTGGCAAACATAGGAAGTCCATACATGTAATTAGGACAGGTTTTTCTTTTCTTTGAACCTAAGCAAACTTGAATTCAAAATATTGCCAATCCTGATAATGTCTGTTTAAAAGGGACGTCTTCTGAAATATGATAAATGTTTGTATTTTTGTAAAAATTTATTTGGAATATCACAGAAGCTGCAGTTGTTTCAATCTTCTGTAGGAGTCCTGTGTAGCTTTGTATGATTTGACTGCTATATGTCCTTTTCATGATGTTTAATAATGAATTACCTTTTCTTTGTTTACTTTGTCTCTCAGTGAAAAAAGCAATTGAACTGAAATCAAGAGGAGTCAAGATGTTGCCCAGCAAAGACAGCAACCACAAAAATTCTGTCTGTAAGTTGTTTATACCATTATTTTTAGTGACTGCATATATCTTCTTGAATACTTTTAGATGTACAAATCAAAGAGAGACATATTGGGAAGCTGTGGTCCTAAAATGGTTATTATGTTTTCAATTGTCACTTTATTAGAACTCCACTGATAATACTCAGGGTGTAAAAAGTAGAATATGGTGGTTTATGCAGAAAAAAACCTACATTATATTTAGCACAGGATTTTTATATATTGGAATTTTTAGAATTCAGAGATGCAAGGCAGATTAGGAAATCCAGTGAGAATGGTGCCATGTAGACTTTAACAATTCAGCACTGGGGATAGTGAAGGTATCTTAACATTTTTTGTATCTGTTTATACTTTCTGATCTTTTTTCCCCCCCTCACTTAATATCACAGCTCTAATTTTTCCTCCCCTTACCAAACAATATCCTGGTGACTGCCTTTTCCCAGTTTTACTCAGAAAGGGTTAAGAATTGCTGTAATTTCCAGCTTCTGAAGAAGATAGAGGTCACAACATCACCTTCCCATCATTGCATGCCAAGTGCACTCTGGAATGACATCTCTTCCATCCCTCTACACCTTTTCTCCCATGTATAGTGTAAGGCTAAAATCAACAAGCTATCTGTGGGACTATGAGGTTGTTGGTTTTTCTGGGCATCTCTTTCCCTGAACTAGCAATCTGAGTTCTTTTAATCAGGCCAGTCTTGAAACAAGAAAAAGAGGATATTTTTAAATTTTGAAAACTGAGAGTCCCTTAGCCCCACCCCCTCAAAAAAAAAAAAAAAAAAAAAAAAAAAAAAAAAAAAAAAAAAAAAAAGTAAGCCCGTGTTCACCCAGAACTCATTAAAAGTGTAAATGTAATGACTAAGATGTATTCAGATAAATTATTTCCACATGAAAGAACACTGAATTCAATGGATTGAAACCTAGGGTGTGTTTGCCTTATTGTGTGCTATTCTGCAAGTACAGAGAGAAAGAGTGTCTTGAAAGCTGATGTCTAGGGGATATGATTTTGTCTCTGTGTTTCTACAGTGAATTGTTTAATACAAAGTCAGTGTTTTGGTATGCTCACTGGAACAAAAGAGGCATGACACTTTTCTGCTGTAAATGTTGCATGTTGATGATGTGGCACTCAAAAGGAACTTTTTATGCAAGGTGTTGCAAAAAAGATGATCTAGCTCTTTGGTGTTTGTATCTGAATGGGTGATTATTTCATTATTTATAAGTTACCTCTGGGAACTGTGTGATCTCTGCTTACACTCAGAGTGCATGCTGTCTAACACTACATGTAATTACGGAAAGTGAAAGTAAGACAGGCTGTGGAAAAATTATTATAAGGCAGTCTTAAAATTGCTGCTTATTTCAAATGTAAATTGCCTTTTTGTGTGTTTTGACTTGACATAAATCTAAGAAGTTTATTATTATTATTATTTCCATTACTTTCACATATATGAAGCTTATAAAAATGGTAAGATTAAAATACAAACATTTGTATTCAAAAGTATTTGCTACACTTTTTGATGTAAGCCTTTAATATTTAACCATTTTTCTTGCTAGTAATTATGTAGACAGAAAATGTAATTGGGAATTTGACTTAGAGAACTGATAAGAGTGGATATTATCATTTGATGCCATTTAGCAAATCTCTAAAAAAAAATAATTAAATACTGAATTAAATACTAACACTCCTCACCATTTTTGTATGTTAGATCTTTTAAAAATTCTCTCTTTATAAAGCAGAAAACTTCCTTTTAGATTTTGGTTTATGGGACATAGATAGAATTCAAACACCATCACGACAAATGCTGTGAGAGCATACCCTGCACATCCTGTGACCTGCAGCTTTTCCACAGCTCTTCCTCCCAAGAAGAACCTGAGAGCAGCTGCAGAAAGCATTTAACAGTGGCACAAATCTGTTAGGATTTAGGTAGAAAATGTTACCAATTATAATAACATTACTGATAATTCCTCGTGGAATGCAGAACACTATTTCAATATTTCAGTGGTGTACAGTCATAGCTCACTTTCCTTCTCCTCCTGGACCTGCCTGAACTTCTGCGAGATTTGTTTCAGCTGCTCTGCCATCCTTTAGAAAGAACCAGGTAGAAAAGCATTGTTTTGGGATATAGGTACCTCTGTAGACTTACTATTGGGAAAAAAGTCATTATCTATCATGTCACTCCATAGGGAAACAATAGTTTTTTGTTGGATTGTTTTTTGATTGGGTTTGTTGTGTTTTTGGTTTGTTGTTGTTGTTTTGTGGGGGGTTTGGGGGGATTTTTTTGGTTTTTTTGGGTTGGTTGGAGTTTTTTCTTTTTTTTTTTTTCCCTCCTTCTTTTGTGTACATCTGATGGAAACATATGAAGCTATTATATCCCTGCCAGCCATTACTCTTTAGCAGTGAGCCAGATGTGGCTGAATCATGATTAATTTATGCAAGAAAATGGGAAAAGGATGCAAAAGAGAATTGAACTAAAATATGGTCCGTGTTTGTCCATACCTTACACTTGGCAAAGGTCAGAAAGAGTAAACTGGGAGAAAGCACATGGACAGGCGGTTCTCATGCTTTAAGTGCTTGAGCTGCCTCAAACACTGGTCAAATCCAGTCAGCATATTTCCCTTGGTTGTATGAAGCTGATCTCTCAGAGGAGTAAGAGAAGGTTTTTTTTCTGAAACTGCTTAGGGAATGCCAATCCCATTACATCTGTCGGTGTCCATCTGATTAGTTACAGGTTTAGTCTACCCACTTTTGTTATCATTTTGATATATATGGTATATTCCCAAAGGAACTTACTTGACCCATCTTGCTATCATCACTCACTCTTATTCTAACATGGAATAAGCCTGCAGATTGTGTTCCTAATGGTTTAGGCCTTTTCTAAAAGTACTATGACTACAGTTTGCATTGTGACTGAGTACATAAAAATATAATTTTGATTGCTGGGTCTTGAATTAATGTTTTCATGGCAATATTTGTGTCCAGCAACTCTCTCAGAGGGTGATTATCATCTCAAACCTCTGAACATTACCTCTGCAGCAGACATAGTACAGGAAGCATCCTGTATATCAAAGAGAAGTAGAGCTCTAATGAAGTGAGCTGCAAGGACAGACTGTCAATGGGCAGCCATAGTCCTTATAAAAGGCCCATTTTCTAGACAAAAAGGAGAAACTTGCAGTTTATATTTTCAAGTGTAGCCTCCGATATGTGCCAGGCAGTTACTATCACATGCAATAGATAACGAGTCAGTACATATCTTCAGGACACCAGTTCACAGAACATTGGGAAGGCAGGGACATAACTGCAGACTTGCTATTCGGCACCTTTATCAGTCTTTGTGCCCTGTGTGGTCCGGAGGAGGGTTAAGAGAACAGACTGCCCCAGAGGCCTTTAATGACCTCAGCCCTTGTGCTACATTCACAGAGCAGCCTCACACTTCCAGACCTCCTCACCAGGAGGAGTACAGAGCACAGGAATGCATCAAGCTCACAGTAAATGCCAAGGTAGTTCAGTGAGGTGAGAGACATCATATCAGATGAAAAATGGAAAGGCTTATATGGTTTATGTGGTGCGTGCAAATCTGCCAGTGCAGCAATTCTGGGAGGGGAAAGCAGAAGTGAGGATGAAGTGCCTGGGAGAGCTGAATTCCTGAGTTTGCTCTTGTCAAAATGCAGCGTGGAAAGTGGCTCCCCACATGATGCAGCAAACTGCAGGGAACGCCCACATTCTGAAATAGCAACAAAGATTAACAGATGAAGTCTGAGTGATTCTGTTAAAAATATGGCATTCATACTGAACCATGTTAACATTTCATGGTAATTACTGAATACTGACTTAACCTCATTTTGCAAAGTGCTCCATAAACTACTTGGTTTTACAAAGTGAGACATCTGTAGGTATTCACTGAGCCTCTTTTACTTCATGAAAGCAATTTCAGGCTTCTGCTGTATTATTTGAAAATATATTTTAGAATACAAGAAAAAAACGCATTAAATGCTTTGAAGATCATGACTCTAGTGTAAGATTAATGCATCTGCTGAAAGCTGAGTTACAGTTCTTCACTCTGAAGATGATAAAAAGAACTACTTTACAATGATTATTTCTTCAGTGTAGAACCAAAGAACAAATGAATTTACAGAGAAAGTATTAATTGGTTGCAGCACATTAGGTTGAATTAATGGCACATGCTGTTGAAACTATAGTGATTAATACCAAAACAGGACTACATTGCTAATTATGTGTAAGAAGGAATGAATGACATCAGTAATTATTTATTTTGTTGTTGGGTAACTGGCACAAATGGCTTAGGACATTGCAAGGTAAAGTTAAAAATTTTAGGATGGAAATTTGTTGCTTATGAATAGATTGCTCATATTTCAAATAAACTGGCAATTTCATCTTCTTGACATTTGGCTATTGGTAAAAATACTTTGACAGAAGCAAAATGATGACTAGTAAAGTTTTGTTCTTCAGTTAATGAAAGACTGTTTCCCTAAGAAGGACAATATTGGACTAAATAGTTACATTTAATAGCATAATTTCCTGAGTGATTTGTACTTTTACCTTAGTAAAAAACAATTTCTTTAAAAACTTTTACATTTTGAGAAGTCAAACACTTAGAAATCTGTTACAAACCAATGTGCAATGTTAACTAACTGATACGACAACTACTTAAGGTCATCTCAAGTTGCAGATACAAAAACTATTGCTGATTACTATGTTTTTTTTATGAAATTTGTAGCTTGACACATAAGTATAAATTTCTGATTATTATGTTTAACATTTCTATTATCTTGTTCATTGTTTCCCCAAAAGAATGTATTATTTAACAATTTTTTAGCACCTTCTTCCAAATTATTTTAAGATTAATGAAAACCTATATAATAATTCCATACAATTATTTTTTCAATGCTCATATAATGGAAAAAAGTTCTACCAAAAATTCCTTCTTTTTTTTTGTGTGTACTTGTATTCTATTGAATCTTCATCTGTAAAACTCC